ACGTTCTGCGCGCCGGACGCCGATGGTGTAGTGGTTCACGCGCCTGCATTAACCACTGCGCGTCTGGGAAACCGACGCTGCGCGGTGCGTGCGTGCGTGCGTGCGTGCGTGCGTGCGTGCGTGCGTGTGTGTGTAAGAAAAACATGTCCTTAATAGCAAATGGGTCATGTCCGGCGATTTTTTTTGGGGGGGGGGGGCTTTCACTGTCAGGGGCCCTCTGTCAACCCTGTGCCCCCCCCCCCCCCATTGCCATGGCTGTGACTGCGCCCTTGGCCTCTTGCGTTGGTCGAGACCCTCTAACAATAAAATATTAGGTGAGAACGTGTGATGGAGTCCACAATGAGACAATGGAAGGGCCCTGTGTCAGTCAGGGCCCCAGTGCCGAACGGGATACCGTCTATCCTATTTCAACAAAAAAAAACCGTTAAGCCAAACTGGAACTAAATGAAACTGGAACTGGAACTGGGACTGGTGGAACTGGTGCCAATTATTGGACTACCTACGACGACAATGAACTTTCCTGCGTCAATGAGGGCTCGTGCGTTGATCCGGGGCCAGCTGTCCGGGTCAGAGGACCTCTCACGTCAGAAAGGGGTCTAAGGTATGTTGTATACCTCTATTAAGGGCCTCATGATTGACCGGGGGACCCTACCCTGTGCTGCCAGGATAGCAGCCGGTAGGCAATCCGCGGTGGGACGAAATAGTCACCAGTCCTCTGCCGAGAACGATAGTATAGTTCCTATTGTTCCATATACGGACGGGCCCACCTCCCGGAAAAAGGTCAGCGGTCTCATAAGTGTTCAAGGGTGGATCAAAACTTGGTCTAAAATGACAGAGCTAATCCACGTTCGATTGCGGATGTCCACTCTTTTGCAGGCTCGATCAACGCAACAAACTACGAACAGGTTTTGAACCTGCGCACTTGCATCTTAGGAGCAAGAACAGCAAGAGCTGGATGCAGTCTCCGTAAAACCGAACGGCGTTGGCCGCTGCAAATTACGTCAAGCGGTGGGCGCCGGGTGCGCGTGAACGGCTGACGTTAAATAATGCTTCCGAAAGTGTTTCAGAAGCAATTTGTACCATCAATAGATCAGCCTGAGATTACGGTTTCACCCAGAGGTTTTAGGATGTCCCCTGACAGACTGATAGTTACAACAGGAATATAGAGATTATTCATGCAGTCTTTTAGTTCCACCACCAGATTCCAGCATCAGCTCGCGGCGCTGTAAATACTAATCCGTTCCTATCATCAATCTCAAAATAGCACTGGTGGAATATACGCCCAGACCGTTGTACACGCACGAATTGATGTCAACAGGCGTTTAAAGACACTTCTCCACACATAGAAGAGTTTATCCTCAGACTGAGAACCATGCGTGATCTCTCGCCTTGAATGCTTGACCTCGCCTATACGCGTGTCCACTGGATGGCATCGCGCTGCCGGGCTCAAGGGCCCATGTTCGGCTGGGCGACAACATTCCGAGGACACCAGAGCGTTTGCGGTCGTAATGGGAGAGGAACGGCATGTTGCTGCTGGCGGACACGGCTGCTGCGATCCGCGCACACGGAACAGCCGAACAGTATCACATCCGGTAATTGCATGAATGTCATTCGGGCCAACGTCAGTGTGGACGGAACGTCATAGGGAGCAGGATGCAAACATCTAAACCCAGAAATCTGGGCTAGTTTAGCAGGGCAGCAGCCGGATGCTGGCAGAGGAGCCATGGCCATCTAAGCCTTTCCACTCTTCAAATTTTTCTGCCACACGCGAGTTCTCTTACTGAACACAACGTGACACCGACGAAATTTCAAGTACCATTCAACTAAAGCAGAACGGATCAAACGCAGTGAACATTATACAGCCGATTCACTTTTGTGACTGATCGAACTTATCACCAGTGAACGTTGGGACGGTGCGCGAATCCTTCTGAACTATTGAGCGAATTGCGCCAGACTTACATGAAACGGTGATGTTTACTCAAACCAGGCCTGTCTAGAAAGCCACAGTTGCTAGTTACATACATCCCACTCAGTATTGGCACCCAGCCTTGGAATATATTTCAATCCATAGTTTCTTCGCCTCAACCAAGAGAACGCGATAACGGTGCTTTTATCTGTTTCGTGCCACGGCGGCCCGCTGAAACGTGCTGAACAGCCGCACCATCCACGCCAAACGCCGGATTGTCTGTCGACTTTAGTTCTTGAGGATGCCACTAGAATCAGCCTCCGTTCTGGGAGACGAGTCGCGCTACCTGCGTGAGAAGCTCGGGACTGCTCTGACGTGCGGCCTAGCAGAGGTCAGTAGAACCACGTTCTCAGTCCTGGCCCCAGCATAGCTCCCATCACCGATCAGCTACGGAGTGCTGACTTGCGTGTACGACGCGCGATGAGCGCTGCCTGACGCGGCGGAGACGCGGACGAGTGCGCGCGTGCCGTCCTCGTGCGGAAAACCGACCTCACGCCCAGAGCGGGCGTGGCAGGCGCCCGCGACACCCAAACCCACGCTCCCATTCGTCGCCTGACCGGCCGCGCCCGCCCGCCACAGGTGTGCCGCAAGAGGCCCAGCGACCCGATCCAGTTCCTGGCGCAGTGGCTGCTGCGCTTCCGACACTTCACGCAGGAGCAGCTGGACCTGGAGCTGGCCGAGATGCAGCGCGTGGAGGAGGAGCAGCGGCTAGCGCAGTACGAGTATACGGCGCTGCTGCGGCAGGCCATCGCCGAAGGCGAAGCGGGCTGCTAGACCGCTCCCCCATCCCCCAGGCAGGTCGGTCAGCTGCGCCGCACGCCACCGAAGCGGAGCTGACCGGTCGGCGCCTTGCTCAGGGAAACACGAGGTCTGTTTCACGCACCGTTTCAAAGTACATTGTCCGGGTCGAGACTCCCAGGGTCCCGAACCACTGGTGAAACATTTTCATACATGCGGACAGCTGTAGTTGTTGTAGTTGTAGTAATTGTAGTTGGCTGTTACAGCGGCCGACACAAAATGCTCAAAGCAGTATCGATTTCATTTTTGTCTGAACAGGAGCCCATACATACTGAGACGATAACCCCTCCCCCCAATACATTAACACAGAAACTTTGTTTTCGCCCACAAATACAAGATCATTCAAGAAAAAACCCGAAGTGTAAGCGGTCGCAAGCCAGTCATGAAATGCTAAAGTAATAAGCACGACTGTCCTTACACACGGAAATGTGCTCCACACCATCGCGCAGCCTAGGGCCGAGCACCAGTTCGTGAGCACGGCGGCCCAGCCCGTCTCTGGCAGGAATGTGATACACCCGCCGGGCTCACACGGCCAGGACGTTTGAGCGTCCTCCGCTCCCCCTCCCCCCTGCACCTGCCCACAGTCACGTCGACCGGCTCAACCGGCGGGCAATGCAGGCCGGGATCAGATTTGGTAATTTCGATTTCGAAAGTCGTGAAATCTCACGGCACGGCAATCGTAACACGAGGCGAGCCCCGGATCTCGTCCTGTCGCGTTAGTGTGATGCCTCAAGGACCGAGAGTCGGCAGCGGGTCGAGTCGGCACCGCCGCTGACCCGCGGCGGCCGCAGCGAATGCCGTGGCGCGACGGCGAGCCGGCGGTGGGCGGCGTGACCGCTTTGTTGGCGTCGGCCACACGGGGGTCTGCGGCCAGCAAGCTGGTCACCAAGGCCACAATTATTCCGTCCGGAGGGCGTGGCAGTGGCCAGACACGCGCCACACCAGGTGCGTGCCTATCACCGGTGGTAGGCGGACAAATCAAACCGCACACACACATGGCTACCCCCCCCCCCCCCCTTCACCTACACCCACACACAACGCATCAAACACGAGCCGCGCGTGCCTGCGAATGTCTGTGCCGTCGAGCCGACAGACGCATTACCGGGTGTCCGTCCCCAGTTTAGCGTCCGACATGTCGGCGCACCGCTTCCGTCCCTCAGCAAGCCGGCGGCGGCGGTGGCGCCGCCTGTCAGCCGGCCTCCCGCCGTACAGGCTGCCCAGCTGCCGTAGCCCGGCCCAGCACCGGCCGCAGCGGCGCGTCCGCCGGGCCAGCCTCGCGCCCGGCGGCGCCCGCTCTCAGCGGCCCGGCTGCCGGTGCTCCTCCGCCGGCCTCTGCCGTCTGTCGGGCGGGCCGGCCCCCTCCGTCCGGCCCAGCCCGGACCGGCCGCCCCTCTGGCCGGCCCTCGCGGCTGCCCCAGTCTCGGAGTCCAGGGACCATGGACGGACCGCGGCAGCGCCGACGGCGCCAGCGCGCACCAGAGCCGGCCGCGCGGCAATTTAGTGGCCGAGAGTCCCCGCAGCGGCTGACGGCTTGGGGCACAGACAGTCGCGTGCACGCGCGGCGAAATGCGAACTTTCAAACGTGGAGCGCCTCCGTCCACGAACAATGTACAAATGTACAGGCACCGGGAGACGTACCGAACGGGTGTGAACTGAAAGGCATGCCACCAAAAGTAGATTAAAACGCAACAGGCACAATACTTACGCTAAAAGCTACTGCAACGAAAACTACCATGCCAGTCACCCTACACGCAGTTCACATAAAACACGCCAACAGATAGCCCGCTCTGCACCAGAGTGCAGCTATTGGGCCACAAGGTCCGTTCACCACACTTCAAATCTCTACGTTCCTCCCTATCCCACCCGCTCCCTCGACGTGCCCACCCTTCCACACTTCCCTCTTCCCGCGCGCGGTCCTCCTCCGGACAAATAGTCACAGGCACTTGACAGCCGCTTCTCGGGGCTCGCTCCAGTTCCCTGCCGACCGGCCGGTCTCATCAGCGAGGAAGACGTCGGCGGATAAGCGGCACCCCGTAACGCCCGGCGAACCGGCCAGCACCAGCAGAAAGCCTCGGTGTCCAGCGGCGGCCCGAGGCTCACAGCTGGGTCTGGTGGTCGCACGGCGGACCCTGACACGGCCACGCAGTAGGTCCAGGGTCCGCAGGCGTCACAGCAGACCACGCGGCGGACCCGGCGGAGGACCCCGACGCCACGGTCTCGGCACGGCCCGCGCCGCTCAGGCGGGCAGGAACGCTTCGGGCGGCACCTTGTTCTCCTGCTTCAGCTGGGCGAACACCTGGACGGCGCGCTCGTAGTTGTAGGCATTCTCCTCGAGGCACCTGCGGTGCGAGAGGGCGGACGGCGTCAGTGGACAGGCGAGGGTAGCGCATGCTACCGGGGCCGCACCCGCTGCCGGCCGCAGCCTGCAGAGCTGGCAATGGCTGCTGAGAAATCAGACTGACTCGCTGACGGGAATCCGACCCTTCCCGCTCCCCTCACACCCTGCAGCGGGCGACACACAGGCCCGCCCTGACCGCGCGGTCCGTTCGTCTGACGAGGCCGTCGGAACCGGCGCCGGAGCCCGGCCGGCCTGGCGGGACCGGATCCGATGCTCGCCCGACGCCCGACCGACGCCGCTCCTCCTGCGCCGCCGCCGATAACACTCACTTGACGGACCAGGCGACGTTCATGCCGGAGACGGCGGTCAGCTGCTCGGCCATGCGACGGCGCACGTCGTCGGTGATCGGCGCGGCGGCGGCCGGCGCCCCGACCCCGGTCGCCGCGCCCGGCACCGCCTGCACGTGCGGGATCGGCGACGGCGACGGCGTCGGCGCCGACGGCTTGAACGCCGCCTGCGGTGGGGAGAGGCGCTGCGGTGAGTCACGTGGGCGTGTCGCGACTGCAGCACGCCATGGTGCGCAAATGCATCGAGGTTTCGAGGACCACCCGTACTTGCTGCTGCTCTGCGAAGACTTCCTTCATCAAAACGACGGGGATTGGGGACGCCTTTGATTCGGATCCGCGTCGCCTAATACAGAAAGTACGGGACCGTGCCTAGCAGTGAACGAAAAATGACGACGAAACACATTCAGAACACCCAGCCCGGTTTGCCTCTCTGCACTCGTACCACACTCCTCCCCACCCTCCAACCTAGTTCAGCAGTGCGCACCAGCGGCCCAGAGTGCTCCATCCCGCTGCGCCACCGCGTGGCGGTCCGCCCCCACCTTGATCTGCTCCGTGGTGGCCGGCGTGACGACCAGCATCTCGTTGATGACGCAGAACCCCTGGCCGTGCGGCACGATGACGAACACGCGCGAGAAGGCGCGCACGGGCGTGTGCCGCTCCTCGCGCTCCTTCAGCACGCCGCACACACTGATCTGCATCAGACGCTCCTGCGGCCGCGAGCGGCTGGTCAGACGAGCGACGCTGCGCCCCGCGGCTCATCTGCCGCTCAGCTACTTCCGTTCGCGCCGGTGCTGTATGCATTCATGACCCGCAGCGGGAAGGCGAAGCGTGAAGTGTACTCTCCCCCGCCCCCTCCCCTCCCGCAGGGACCGTCCCGGCGGAAAGCTGGGCAGACGCGTCGTCACCACGTGACGGACCGGTCACTACCGGCGGACAGTGGTCTCGGGGCACGCAGCAGCGGGGCGCGACCGCCGTCAGCGCCAGGTAGCCGCCGGGGGTTCACGACAGCTGCCACGGCCGACAGCCGACGGCAGCGACTGGGAGGACCGTCCACACCAGCAGTCCGACAGAGTCGCCGCAGCCCTGCGCAGCCCAACGCCGGCCGGCACAGGACGGCTTCCAGCCGCGCCGCTACCCCGGCCGCCGCAGCCCGAGCTCCGTCACTCACGTTCGCCACGGGCACGTCGACGGTGAACGAGTTGGAGTCGTGCTGCGTCTTGGGCAGGCGGGCCAGCGCGCCGAGCACCTCCAGCTTGCCGGAGCGCAGCAGTGCCGCCTGCCGTTCGCGCGCCGTGCGCTGCAGGTTCCGGCTGTCCGACATCCAGGTGTGCAGCCTGCCAGGAATCGGCGTCAGCGGACCACAACAGGCTGGCGATTCCACCCGACGCATCCGCGCATGGCATCCGAGTGCAGCGAAAGGCATTCGCAGCGACGGGCTGAACCGGACAAAACGAACGCAACGCAAATGAACACAAATTAACTTCCTGAGCTCTCATGTGACGCTTGCGCCGGGCGTCGCATCGCGCGCCAAAGGCTTGTCTCGCCCCCGCCCACCCCCCGCGTCCACATGACCATCTGGCGTGCCGCGCGCCGTGGCCCGTCGGACACTGCCCTCGCCCCGCGCCGCCCGGTCACAGCCAGCGGGCGACCCGCCCTCCCCTGGCACCTGTCGGAGCTGTTGCGCGGCGGCAGCGACACGCTGAGGCTGAAGCGGCACCGCTCGTGGTACGCGTCCATCAGGGCGTCCCGCTTGTCAGCGTCGAACACGTCGAAGTACTGCTTCAGGAACATGAGCGCGATGTCTGCGGCATGGGGGCGGACAATGCAGTTAGACGTCGGGGCGGCCAGAGGCGCACCAGGCACGAGGACAATGGCACACGGGGCGCGGTCTCCGTCCACACATACACACACAAACTAAACACTCTCACTGCTCGGTCTCACCGTGGCGGTTCTCATCGTGTTTCAGTCTCTCACTGATACATCAGCACAACCACTACAGGGCGTGCACGGAGCCGACCACAGGTTGGCTACGTGCCAATAAATAAATAAACAAATAAACAATAAAATCAAGCACACGTAGGACCGACACAGCTAAAACTGAATCCCTACCAAGCACAGACAAACAGCTCGCGGCAATCAGAGAACCGGCCACAGCTAAAAACACACCGACACCAGCTAGCCCACGACAGCAGTCGGTAGGCAGTAGCCGGGGTTCGGCAGCCGCCGCTGACGGCACCCAAAAAACAGACCACAGCTAAACCAGACCGACACCAGCCGAGCCACGACAGCAGCCGGTAGGCAGCAGCCAGGGGTCGGCAGCCGCAGCCGAACAGGCGCGGCGCCCCGGTCGCTGGCCCAGCCTCGGCTTCAGAAGGCTCCTGGCGCCGCGCTCCGCCCCGGCGGCCAGTACTCACCGCGCGGTTGAGAGCCGCAGAAGAACGAGCTCTTCGACTCGGGCAACTTCTTGGCCGCCACGCTGTCGTCCTCCACGTCAAACTCGATCGGCGGGGGCAGCTCCACGTTGTCCTGCGGCCGAGCGCCGGGTCACGCCGGGTCACACACGCAGCCAGCCAGCGGGGGCGGCGGTGGGGTGGGGCGCGCGCGACGCCGGGGCGCTCACCGTCTCAGCGTCGGCTGACCGGTGTGCCGCCTCCGGCGAGGCCAAATAGGAGACGGGGACAGTTAGTACAGGCAGGGGTGCGACGAGCACCATCCGGCAGTAGTGCAATCGTCAGATTGGAAGCCTGGCACAAATGAACATGGCTGCCGGAGGGAGCGGTGACGACATAAACAACTTGGTGGCAACGGAACCGTCAGCCCCAGACGGTAACCACAAACCATACGGACATATGCCAACAAATATGACGCATTTTAGTTGGAGGAAAGTGCCGATGGACTCGACACCAAGACTTCGCGTATCTTTTGACAAGCCGCGCGCCCGCCGCGACAGCACACAAAAGCCCGTGTCGAGCGCATGCGCACAACCCAGATCCCGGCCATCACCGCGGCCGACCTCCGCGGGGTCTTACCAGCAGGACGATCTTGGGGAAGCGCTTCCGCACGGCGCTGAGGAACAGAGGCGCTTCGGTTGTGGAATCCTGCGGTCAGACTCGGACGGCACGGGTTATCGCCAGCGTCAGACACGGCGAGCCAGACACCACCCGCCCCCGGCCCGCCCGCGACGCTCCCTACCCTTCGGGGTGCCGGTGAGCCGCGCGCGGCACATGCATCGCGAGCTCGGCCCGCTGCAGCGCCAGGACCCGTCACAGGTTGACCGCTCCCCCGCACCGGCCGCCCAGTCAGCTCTGATGGAGCCGACTGCGTCATCCCGGCGACGACCGACACGCGCGGCACGCGGCCAGCGGGGTCCGGTGCCGTCCCCCCCCCCCCCCGCCGGCCGCCGCCGCCCAGAGGGTCGGCCGCGCCGGCGTACCTGATGTAGTCGGCCTTCTCCGTGAAGCCGTCGCACAGTTTGTTGCCGTCCAGGTTGAGTTCGACCAGCGGCATCCCCGACAGCGAGTCGAGCAGGCCCACGGTGCCCATCTGTGGCGGACCGGGCAGTGGCGTCAGCGGACCCGGCGGACACACCGCACCCGAGCAGCGGTCCGCCACCGCGCCGGGGCGGTGGTCCGACGTCGTGCCGGGGTAGCGGTCCGCCACCACGCCGGAGCGGCGGACCGCTACCCCGGCACGGTATACGGCACCGGGGCAGGACACGGCGGTCACACAGCACGACAGGACAGGACGTGACGTCACACATTCCACAGCAGCAGCAGGACACGACCACCCATACATCGGTCCAGGTCAGAGTACGGCGGTCCATGCCACGGGTGAACCACTGCCAGGCATGTCCGCGCGAAAATGGACAGATGACAGCACTTAACTGGACGATGACATAGTGGATCTATCACGACATATTGGCACGCTAACGAACCAATGCCGAAGCAACCGGGATTGACCGGAGACTGGATTTCTTAACTGTGACCTTTGACGCGCTGTTCCAGCACACCAGGCGGCGCCAATCGGCACGCTGGAACAGCACGTCAAAATGCGCACAGATGCGCACAAATACCGAACGAATGCAAACTTCGCGCCGGCCAGACCACCGACCACGTCTGAAGGGCAGGTCGCGACGGCACACGTTCCGAGGAGGCCGTCACTGTTCGTGCAGATGTTTACATAACAGAGCGCAGATGACGGGGCATACATGGGGGTGGCAGCAGCGCGGACCCTGAGGCCTTCCAAGGCCCAGCCCGGTAACTGTAGCCGACATGGACCGGTGAGGGTGGCGCGGCGCCGACCCGAGCGGGGTCCACGGCCGGCAGGCATTTGTGTCGTCCCCTTGCGAAGCACCGGCGACTACTGACCGCCGCCGGTGTATCAGAGGGGACCAGGCATGACACGGCGTGCACGGTCCGTCCAGGACTGCATACGGCCACACGTCACAGCCAGCAGTTGGACATGGAGAGTGAATTCCAGACCGTATTGCCGAGGCAGCATCCCGGCACCCCGGCAAAATTGTTTAATAGGAAAACTAGACGCCTCTGTGGATAACCAGCTTGTACTTAAAAGAAGCTAGACGTTTGGTGACCTGATGACGGTCCCTGACCTTGTTACACACCGCGCGCCGCTGTACTCGCATGGAATAGTCCGTTCCCACGGACCGGACTGGTACGTAACACCATGGTATTGTGCACAGACCTTAACTACGCCCGAAAATGTGTGAGGCCTGGGGAGGGGGCGGGGGGGGGGGGGCAGATCTGACCTGATGAGGCGTTTATCAGAAAGATGCCACAGATACGCTTTCACCAATTTTGGGAGGACCAGATCACCCTTTTGACACAACTGGGGGCAAAATTTCCCGAAGCTCAGTCCCACAGAGGCTTCACTCATCCACGGACCCCTTCAACCAACTGAGAACGGTACGCCATGTTTCCAAGGCACCGATTCTGGCATACTCTTGACTATTGACGACAGTGGTTGATGGCACAGCACATGCAGATACCACTTACTGTAGCTGCCACGGACGATGCCCAGCCGAAAAGCGCGGACCAGAGCATTGTCCACAACAGCAGACGTTTGTGTAGTCCCCTTGCGAAGCAGCGGCGATTATAGACCATCGCCGCTGTATCAGAGGGGACAAGGGTACAGCTGACGGGTTCCAGCTGCTGGCCTCGCCACTGCACCGCTCCAGGGAATATTTCTGTGTCATTGACTGACGACTGCTTCGACCAAAGAGAGCCAGATCCGTAAACGCGAATGAAACATGAGGCTCCGTTGGTAACGCGCGGATCTCCACGTGGGAGGTCTCAGTTTGATTTCTGGGTGTCCTCGCTTTGAGCCGGAAATTGAACACTGTGGTCGCCAGCACTTCATAAGGTGACGCGACGACGCATGCTGCGTACCCATTTCCTAACCTAACAGAAAATCACACAAAGTAATAATGATCAATACCACACTAAAACAGACACCTCTGCATACTTCTGGACCGTATTGCAGCCACAAGTACGAAACCGTGAGGAGACAACCACAAGTACGAAACCGTGAGGAGACAACCACAAGTACGAAACCGTGAGGAGACAACCACAAGTACGAAACCGTGAGGAGATAACCACAAGTACGAAACCGTGAGGAGACAACCACAAGTACGAAACCGTGAGGAGACAACCACAAGTACGAAACCGTGAGGAGACAACCACAAGTACGAAACCGTGAGGAGACAACCACAAGTACGAAACCGTGAGGAGACAACCACAAGTACGAAACCGTGAGGAGACAACCACAAGTACGAAAACGTGAGGAGACAACCACAAGTACGAAAACGTGAGGAGACAACCACAAGTACGAAAACGTGAGGAGACAACGCTCCAGAAACAACTGATGAGGACAATACCAGTACCGGAAAAGTATGTAAGGAAACGAGCTCGCACAACCAGAGAGAGCGGAACGAATATGTCACCACCTGAAAATTCATCGGCCGGCTTATACAGCCAAAAATTGAAGTCTAAACATTTATGGACAATGCCACCTACTAGAAGGGGGAGGGGGAAGACAGTTCGGCTTGCTCGAGGGAGCTATTATGCGTCTTGCCCACCTGATGATTGATACGGAGCACAGCTCTCAGTAACTGTAGCCCAAAAACGACGGCCGAGAACGTTACAAAAACGGGCTCGAACATGGGTTTCGCCGGCAGGCACTTATGTCGTCCCGTTGCGAAGCACCAGCAGCTGCAGGCCACTGCTAGTGTATCAGACGGGACAAAGCACATTGCTTTATTTATCGACGCATTTGATTACTCAAGCCAGCCAAAGGCGGAGGATTGGTTACGCCCTTTGCCATTATATGTTGATATCGCTACGCGGTAACATCTCAGCAGCAACGATGCCAATTCAAAACGTAAGACAATATTTGATATGCCAACACCTTGACCTCCTGGCTTCTCGGCATTCTGCGTCGGGACCCATTATTCCCACGACATCCCACCTTCATTATACAAGGAGGTACCCGCTAAACGCTATGCCTCACCACAGCTTTGTGCGGTGCAGCCGGGCAGGCCGGGGAGGCCCACACACGGCCAGCTGGGGCTGTGGAGCCGCAAAGCCACGCTCGTCCATGAAGCTAACGCACAAGGTCAATCGCATCGCAGACGAATGCATAACGCCGAGACCTTGCTCCTGAAGCTGCACCCTACCAACTCAAGCATTAAGCATGAATATTCAATTCCCTTCGGGCAGGCGAGGCGTGTGAATCTGCACTTACCCCAGGTTTCGCAGCAGATCAATACGCACAGGTAGTGCTATGCGAAAAAGCATAATCTCATTTGTGCTGCGGATGAAAAGCATGCGCCGAACCAAGGCCCATTGTACAGGCACTCGCCGCGCCTACAAAGTGAGCGCAAACAACATTAATGCGCCATAGAGGGAAGCTGGTCCCCAAAAGCCAGGGGCAAATGAGACGGACCGACCCGCGGCTCAGCGGCTGCATCATGCCGGCGGCCTGTCTCACAGGTTCCCATGATCACTGTCTTTCACTTCCCAACATCCCAAAGAACATCTGCCCACCCGTCCTTCGTCGGCCCGCCGTGCAGCTCTTGTCGCCAGTGCGCCACGCCACATCGGGTTCCCCCACGCAGCATCAGCTTGAGCCGCAACAGGTGCAAGTCAAACATTCGACCCTGTCACCAGGTCCGAGCGTCCTTGCGCTCATGCACGTACAGACGCTTGCGTCGTACACTCCAGAATGAGGTAAAAACATATCGCAACTGCAGCGCAAGGGGTTGCCGGCCAGCCCGATAGCACCCGATGCTCGACTTTGTCCATCGCCTACTGAGACTGCCTTGCTCATCGATAAGATAGCCACGGCGGCCGCAGGTGTGGCCGACGCGGGGCGGCCCGGGTCCTAGCGAGAGCACCCGGGCACCACCCGAGCTGGCCGATGATTGTGTCGTCCCCTTGCGAAGCACCGACAGCTACTGACCGCCGCCGGTGTATCAGAGGGGACCAGGGTACGGCCGTACGCCGTCACTACTGACACTGCCGTCGACTCCTATCTGTCGCGAGGAGGGCACCGTTCGGCGCCGATCAAAATACAACAAATATAAAATAAACACTGTAAGAAAGGTAAAAACTACTCACACCACACAAATTCAATCTTCAGCCGCTTCAATGGTGCAATTTTCGGTCGGGTTTTGTTACCGCTGTCAAAGTTTTGGCGGGATGTCTTCGGGACCAGGGTCTATGCTAAGCAATAATCACGGCTTGTTTCGAAGATAGCCGCGGGCGGGTGAAAATCATCCAACAGACCATCTTCGCGCCTGGCGGTCTCATCCAATGACCTTCATCGAACTCAACAGCTGCGCAGCGCGCGCACAATGCACCTCTCCTTGTCAAGTTGCAGGTCAGGGGTATTGACCACCGGAAAACCAGGCGCTTCTTCTAGTACGCTAACCAACGTATTCCACCACACGCAAACGGGGCAAGTCATGTCCTCCCGTAACAAGGGGTAAGGGAATGATAAAACAATATTGCAAACGAGGTTATCTTTCTCCAAAAAGAGGTGGCTTAAACGTGCACCGGTCACATACACCGGGAATTCCGGACGGGTGACGGACAATCATTTCGGATCGAAAAGCGCAGTGCGTACACCACATACACGCGTCGGACAACAAGCACGAGATACATATACGCACACGACAGGAATCCTGGAAAAGCGCACAAGTCGAGTGATATGGTGGCACATGCATTGGGGTCAGGACCTGTGCAAATGCCACCCCAATAAGACGAGATCGCATGGAGCCCAATGTACCGCAATGGAGCCCATGCGCGGCTGGCGCAAGGGTCGCAGGCGGCGGCTTAAGCTCGCCGGCCAAACAAACGCGGCAGCACACTGACTCACCAAGTTGTGACTGAGGTCCAGCGCCTTAAGGTCGGCGCAGGAGTTCTTCAGCGGCTTGAAGGGCACCAGGCTGGTCAGCTTGTTCTTGGACAGGTTGATGCCCATGACCTCGGGGATGTTGGCGACGATGATGTCGATGACGGCGGAGACCACGTTTTGCCGCGACAGCGGCAGGTACAGGCCCTTGCCCCGGATATCTGACGGCAGGGTCCCGGCAGCCCGTCACCAGCTGGGGTCGCTCCCGGTCCCACCAGCCCGTCCTCCGCCGCCTTGCGGAGCGACGCCAGCCGAGGCGTCCGTGGCGACGGACCCTAAGGCCGCCACCTCCGGTCATGCGTGCCAACCTCGCCCCGGACGGCGCGCGCCAGCCCACCCCGGACGGCGCGCGCCAGCCCACCCCGGACGGTGCGCGCCAGTCCACCCCGGACGGTGACGTGTCAGCCCGAGCGCCACTGAGCCCCGCCCGGGCTACGGAGGCCACCGGACACTCACAGGGGTCGGCGTGGAACTGGCCTAGGTTCAGTGTGCGGTTGGCCGGTGTGTAGCGGTTGCTGAGTGCCTGCTGCAGCTCCGTCTTCACGCCGTCGTCCACGGTCAGCATCGGCGGCTCGGAGCGCTTCGTCTGCGAGCGGCAGCAGGGGTCAGGGCGGCCGCCGCACCCTCCGCTGGTCACGGCATCGCCGATATCGCAGGGGGGGGGGGGGGCAGATTGGCACACAAAACCGGCCGGTAGCAAAACAGACATTACACCCGAAACGAAACATACGTAGATGACGATGCGCAGACAAAACAGGCCTGAAGTCTTCTGATAACATGGGCCCTCCTGCCTCTGAGTGGTCAAAGTATTACCAATAACACCACACAGGGCTACTTCATACGAAAACCACCACATAAAGAGAGAGCGACGCTCACAACCATCTCCATGGATACTCGAGACATGCAGCCTTTTACAATGGGAACCGAACACACGACAACACAGGAGTTCACACTCACGATTATTCTCATTTTAAAGCCATTGGGCGTCTGTATTCGCTGATCCAACGCCAGCAAGGCGTCTGCCATCATCTTGTTCTCCACGAAAAAGTGGACATCTTTCTGGTTCGACTCCTTGGTGTACTGTAACCACGGCAGTTATGTACACGGCCGAAAACACGAGCAATAATGACCGACTGCAAGGCGTCATCATAGCATAACATACCTCCAATGACAACGCTCTTCTCATATGATTTCCCGCAGTTTGCCTACGTTCGCTACTTGGAAAAAATACATTGACAGAACACAATATCTAAATATTAATTCGCACTGCACTTTTTTGCTCACTGTTTCTGATAATGAACGATTTCGACCCGAAGGAAAACCGACCAGGCGACGTTCGAGTGATAGCCCATATTTACCCGAGAACCGAGACCGTCATCCACCTCGTACAAACTGAGCGCGCGTATCAAACCGCGTTCTCACCAGCCTCCCAAGCGCCGGGCCTGCCGCCCGCCCAGAACCACCGGACCACAAAGCTGTGACATCACGGGGCTCCAACGCCACGAGCTACGCCCCTTCCGGCGCGAGACGCCGCCGCCGGCCGCCACGGCGGCGCGCCGGCCCGAGCCTCGGCGGGCCTGCTTACCCCGATGGGCAGGAACGGCTCCGAGAGGTTCTCATTCAGGGAGTTGACCACGAACTCTTTGCCGTACGTCTGGCCGTACCTTATCTGGCGGATGGGGGCACGGGGAACACGTCACTGCGGCGGACCGACTCAGAGGCCGCTGGGCCAGGGAAGTCCTGCGCACGTCACAGGGTAGGGAGTGACACGCCCTACGTGGCAGACCATCTGCCATCAACCAGCCCTATCAAGGCCCACCAACGAATTTTCCTCGTTCATGGCCAATGCGCACCACAACAGTATTATCAACACGACAGTGACGAACGTCTCTCCACAACGCCGTCGTTTCCCCACGTGTACAAGTTGCGGAAGTGCTCACTCCCAGTTACACTACACTGCCGCCTTGGCCCGAAGGCCCCGACGAAGCTTACATTGAGAAACGCATCACAAAGCCCCCCGGAAGCAGCGCGTTGGGCTTTCAAAAGGTCAATCGGATCCCTCGGAAGGTGACGTCACTCACGATCACTTTGAACCAGCTGCCGAGCGCCGCGTTGGGCGGCCTGTGGCTGTTGTAGGGCGGGCCGGCGCCACCGCGGCCGCCGCGGTGAGGCCCGCGCGGGCGGCCTCGGCCCCTCATGCCGCGCCGCCGCTCCTCGCCGAACTGCCTGCAGCACGGAGCGCCAGCCGACGTCAGACGGCAGGCCGCCGGGCGGCGCCGCCGCGCCTGAGCGCCTGCCTCCACCCGCCACAGCGCACCGAACGCTGTTACCAGCCGTGGCTTGCAGTCCGATTTGCCGTCAGCCAAGAGACGCACCAGACTAGTTAGTGTTATGCTTCAGCAAATCAACGTCAAAGAGCGATGAATACAGTTTGCAATGCTACTCCCATAGCCTACTTTAACAAGTACTCCTTGCTATAATAGTAGTAAGCTATCTTGCCAGGGAAAACATTACTGTCAGAGGCAGGCAGTCACGTTTCCACATTCAAAATGTCACACTTCCACTATGCCAACAGCTAATGAAATACACTGCCAACACAAAATCTGAGATATCCATATGCATAAGTGTAAACATCTAAGCAAAGCCAAAGTAAAAAGCAACCAGCAGTTTCAGTATCGCTCCAGTGGCAGACAACCAGCGTGCCATCCCTGAGCGGCGTGACGCCGCCCACCTGGGCGATGGTGTCAAGATGAAGGCCCGCCCGGCTGCCTCCCGGAGGCCACGGACATACATTATCGACAACCTGGGTACGCGGCCTCGCGCCCTCCCCACCCGCTCCCCGTCCGCCGACGCTCACACGTACGGCCGGCGGCCGCCCATTTCGGCGTCGTCATCCAGGCTGGGCTGGAAGCGGCCGCGGCCGCGCAGGAACTTGCCGCGCGCCTTGAAGTTGGCCTGCCGGTGGCGCGTGCCGCGCGACGACCGGTCGTCATGCTCTGCGGCACAGGGGCAGCGCGCGCGAGCGCCGTCAGCGGTGCCCCGGCGGCCACACGTCCACTGCGGCGTGACGTGGCCCGTGGTGTGGGGTGGAGTAGTGTGGGGGTGGATAATCAAACAATGTCGTCTTAACCAGCACATTTACTAAACAGAAAAATGTGTCATCTAGAGCAGTTTTTTCCATTTAAATTATACCAATAGCTACTAATGAGCTTAATTCATCATATCTGATGCTCACTTCACTATCTTCAGATGTGAAACATTCCCCTTAAAGGGAGTGTTCCACATCTGTACGGGGTTTTGAACTGAGATAGCTATTTTGAAGATCATTTGGTATAGTTCACGGCCCTGCCCTTCTTTAGACCAAAACCCCTCCAGTTTCGAAGCCACATACCCACAAAGATGTGCAGACTGTATCAAGGAGACTATTTTAAAGTCACCAAGGCATACATGAAGTCATAATAACCTTATGAAATCCTGACATTCCTCCAGTCATACAGTGATCAAGACCAAGAAAACCAAAGTGTCAAGTTGTTCATATCTGGCAGCTATGAGCATGATTTCCAGATAAAACAGCCATCAACTGGCTATCAAGCAATCTTTGGTGAGATACAATGTCATCAAACAACTGCATATTAAGTGGCATATTTACTGAACAAAGAAATGGTGCTGTCTAGACCAGTTTTTTCATGGTGAAGTGTACAATAGTTATAAATGAGCTATGTTCAGCATATCTGATGCTTGCTTCAAATCTTCAAACATGGAACATTGCCTCCAATATCACTGGACTTGTGACAAGAATTCAACTCCTACCCCTTCTCACAAGATGAAAACAAACTATCTCAAAACAAAAAAATCATCCATATAGCATTATACTTCATACCATAGGCACCATGACGTTAACCACAGAGTAGCAAGGTTTCATCATTCACCTTGCAAAAAACAAAACCAAACAATTAAAAAAAAATCAAACATCTATGCAATCAACCAATCCATCTCCAAAATTTGCATAGGATGTGCAAGACATTTTTTATATCTAGAAGAATATCACACATCTCACTTGATGACCAGGGCTACTGTGCCACTTAAGTAGAGAGCTGTATAAAGGGTAAAAAAGCCATAAGAATAAGGTGGCCCACAACCAGTTATAAACACTTCAGGGGCAGGTTCTGCTAGCAGGCTTACAGCTTGGTTTGAGCTCATTAGCATACATTGACACATAGAGGGCAAGGAAAAGATGTTACACAGAACATGCCTGGCATAGCAGACATTCCAGTGAGATTTCAGAGTATGTATGCCATAAATCTCAACACTCGAGTTTGGCATCTGGTTACAACCTATTTCAGTGCGTAAAGAGCTGATGTTTCAAATAATTATGATGCTACAAAGTCACCCTAAAAATAATACTAAAACACTTTCTGAGCACTACTAATTTAAAAATTCAGCCCTACTTAACCTGGACTGAGTCTGACTTCCAGAGAGCCAGGTTCAGCATACCAATGCAATGCATGTATTAGGTGGAGTGGATGAAATGAGCATCATCCACAGGACAGTCTGTCAACAAGTAGGTAAATCTGTTATTTCCTTGCTGCAAAGTATGTATTTTTTGGTCTCAGAGTACATCATTCATCAGCAGTGATTTACAAGCAAATATATATGGGTGCTCATTGCTTTCAATTGATATGCTATACTTCAACTTGAGCAGTACCTTCATCTAACTAGATCAAGTAATAAGCTTATTGGGCATAACTGGAGAAATACATATATTGCTAATGTTTGACATAGCAGCACCATTTCAGCAAGAAATTAAAGTGTATGCAGCCATTCATCCTAGCTTATTCAGAGCTTGGCTTGGAGTTTGTTGCACAATCCCCACCAATTTTGGTAAATAGATAGCTTGTGTGTTCAGAATTATGATGTTTTAGAGGTAATTGTGGGCAATAATGCTCATCAATCATTATTCACACAAGATTTGGAAACTTCAGCCAAATTTGGCCTGGACTGGGTTAAATGCACATAACCCCCCCAATCAGCTTACATACATGTGCATACAGTGCGGCGGACAAATTTTGAAAACTGACATGGTTGATGTAGAAGAGACAAAGAGTAATTGTGGTCTCAAAATAAATTCAACATATCTACTACCAACAAGCTTGGAGCAAAGAATGTTATTTGTGACACTAGCAAACTCAAGTTTTTGGGACTTCATGAAATCTACTTTTTCCCATTGTGCTTCAACACTATTCCCACTACAGTTCCTTCCAATGCATTCAGAGAGTGCATAAATAAGCTGAATCCATGTGACAAAACTTACCATAAAACTGAGCTGCATTAGGATTTCTAAATGTCTTCACGATATAGCTCTGATCTCTGCCTCTTTGCTGAGACATACTACGGAGACGTCCAAAAACCGTGGGGTCGCGACCAAGCCAGGCGGGCTGCTGTCTACCCACAACGAAATTACCACAAAGAGGAAAACGTATATATCACGGCAAAAATGGACCAAGGACACCTATCCAGACGTCAGCACAGGCATCTACCAGCGCAGAGAACGCGTTGCGCGAGGAGCGAGTACGTGCCGTTGCGTAGAGGGATTCCTCGACGCCTACGACGCACATATTGCGCAAATGTGGGTTTCAGGTAGTGACCACTAAATAAAAAAAATTCATAAACCACGCTAATCGTCATTTACCTTTTAAATAATATAGACAGAGGAATAAAAGAGTATTTGATGTAAAAGAGACGGGGAGCAAAATTAAGAACAAAACATACTTTAAAAAACCCATTTTTCATTTCTGAACGAGGTCAACGTTTACTGGTAGCAGCCTGCTTACTGACGCAACTTAACCCAGAATGTTTTTTTACGAAACAAGATACATTTCTACGATTGCCACAGGCCTATCATGTTTTATTCAACTGTGAAATTAAAAACACAAATGACTGCTAGCAAGTTAATACAGCTTCTTCTGAACCTCAGAACTTGCACGACACGTGGCAAGACCATTTGGGCGAGGCGCGAGTGAGATGACTATAGACGTGATTGTTAGTGTCGATAACTCAAGGCACAGTCGAATGTTTCCTTAAAACCCTGTTAGCGAGCAAACGGGCCGTCGTTGTCGGCGCGGCGGCGGCGGCTCCGCGAGAGTGTGAGCGGCCCCTCTGCCGATTGGTTCCCACCAGGTGGGGCCCATAAACCCACGTGGGTTTATGGGGACACGCGGGCGGGGACGCACGGTCCCTGCCGAGCAGTCCAAGTTCAGGCTCCGACGGCGCAGCTCGACGCGAGCCCAGTCCACGTTCAGACTCCGCCCGCGCAGTTTGACGCGGGCTGCGACAGCGTTTACGACGACGACGACGACGACGTCGGAGTGTGCGACGCCGCCCTTCCAACCCCTCTCTCACTTTTGCCTTGCAACTCTTTGGCTAATAGACTCTTTCCTTTCAACGTCTTAAGTCGATGGTCCTCCGGAAAACTAACGAACTCTTTCACACGAGCATTCTGGTCCTCCGGGCCGGATGTAAGCGAACTGGTGAACGGATTACAGTGTTCAGTGACGACGAAACGCAGTGTTATCAGTGATGTCTGACAACCGGTCAGGACAAGCCGGTGATGCAAGATCACAACGAAGCAGGACGTCCTACCGCACCCGGAGTGAGGCAGGTGCCAGCACAGCCTCCTCTCGCCTCAGCGAAGCTCGCCGCCGATCTGCGCTGAGCAAGCTCCAGGCGGAACAGGGGCAGCGCGCGGTGGCAGTTAAGGCGGAGCTGGCGCGGCAACGGGCGGAGGCAGAGGCGGAGCTGGCACGGAACAGGCGGAGGCAGAGGCGGAGCTGGCGCGGCAACAGGCAGAGGCAAAAGCAGCTCTCGAAGCCCAGGAGCTGAAGGACGAAGCGGAGCACCGCCAGCTGGAGCTAGAGCTGCTGGAGCAGGAGGAGCGTGGATCTCTGCACGCCGGCGACGCTGCGTCATTCGTCAGAGGCCCATTGAAAGCTGCAGCTAAGCCGCCCGTGTAGCTGCGTGAGCAACCGCAGTCGGACGTCTCAGCCGCACGCATCAGGGATTGGCTCTCCCAGCTGCAACCGAACGCGCGACCAGCCAGTGCAGAGCCCGCCAATGTCTCGCCTGCACCGGCACCTCTGCTGCAGCGCCCGACCGTTGCTGAGAGACAGGCGAATCCCCATCTGCCGCGGATAACGCTGGACAAGTTCAGCGGCTCCGCTCTCGAATGGCCGAGATGGGTCGCCCTGTTTAAGGCGCTGGTGCACGACCGCGCCGACCTCACAGACGTTGAGAGGCTGACGTATCTGCAAGCACACCTGACCGGGCCGGCAAGACAGGCGGTACGAGGAATGCTCTGTGACGCCAGCCTCTACGGCGCAGCCCTGCGTGAGCTGGAAGAGGAATTTGGCGACCCAGCGCGTGTGATACACGCAACTATGAAAAAGCTCCTCTCGGCACGACTGGTCAGGGATGGCGAACTATCTGCTCTGACCGAGCTGTCACGAGACTTGCGCACTACAGTGAGCGTTCTGCAGTGTCTGCAGTACGAACCAGACCTCGCCACCGCCACAAACGTCACAGCTGTGGCCGGCAAACTTCCTGCCAGTCTGGCATGGAGATGGGGAGAGCATGTCGTGGAGAACGGCATCACTCGCCCCACTCTGATCGACCTCGACGGGTGGCTGTGTCGGCATGTCGCTGCTGGTCGCGTGGCCACGACACAGGCGGGCCACAAGCCGTCGCCTAAAGTCGAAGTTAACACCCCAGAAGGCCGACCGAGGCGAGTGTTTACCACAGCGTCGGCTGTAACGGCCGTAAAATCGAGGAAAATTGCGGCCATTAACCCGCCGGCGGCCGCGGGACGCAACGCGTATGCCATGTGCCAAGGTACACACAACATACAGTGCTGTGACGCATTCCTGGCGTTGACGGTGAGCGAGAGAGCAGAGTTTGTCGGCAGAAGCGGACTGTGCTTTAACTGCCTGTCTTGCGGTCACATCAGCGCCAGCTGCCCGCGTGACAAGAGATGCAAAGCCGAGCGCTGTGGGGGACGGCATCACACGCTGCTCCACAATGGCATGCGAGTGTTCCCACGGCGCAATAAGATTGACAACTCGCCGCCGGCTACAGACGCTAAGCACGTCGGCACAGCGGCAACTGAGCCAGGCAGCCGGGTTCTACTCCAAGCAGTGCCCATCACCGTGCACGGTCCCTCGGGAGTCGCACGACCCACGCTCTCCTGGATCTCGGAAGCCAGGCCACGCTTGTGACCGACGACCTCTGCGACCGGCTCGGTATCTCGGGGCCCTCGGACGGGCTGGTCCTGAGTACCCTAAACGGAAGTGAGCGGCTCCAATCACGGCGCATAAGTTTCTCAGTCCAGCCTGTGGGCAGCGGCGACAACAGGCACGTTATCCGAGGTCTGAGTGCAGCTGTGCCCTCTCGTACCTCGTGCCGAAGGCTTCTGTCGTCCAGAAATGCTTAACCTGGTTTTGAAGGACCAGAAGAGCACGCCGTTCGTCACTGACTCGGACGTGGTGCACACGCTTATAGCCTGGTGCGTGCATCGACCGCCGCGGCGTGTGCAGAGTACCGGCTGGTGTTTATGGCCGGCGCCGCCGTAACAGTGGTGCACGCTGTCACCTGTCACGTTTTGGTTTTGTGCTCTTTTTGTGCTCAACGGAGTGCTCTTCTGGACCTTCAAAACCAGGTTAAGCATTTCTGGACGACAGAAGCCTTCGGCACAAGGTACGAGAGGGCACAGCTGCACTTAGAAGCGGACCAAAGGGCGAGGTCCATCCTAGACAGCACCACCAAACGGGCCGGCGATCGGTACGAAACCGGTCTCCTGTGGCGCTGGCCTGACCACTGGCCAGCCGCGCCTGCCTGCCTGACAGCCCGCCCCGGAGACGAGGAGGCGGCCGAAATGAGGATGACAGCGTGCGCCACTGTTACGGCGGCGTCGGCCATAAACGACAGCCGGTACTCATCGTGGCTGATGCTGCTGCGCGTGACAGCATGGGTGCAACGCTTCGCGCTCAACAGCCGTGCTGCCTGTCCACTCGAGCAGTCCACATAGAGCTGGCTCACTCGCTGGACACCGACTCATTCATCATGGCGATGAGACGCATGATGACGAGACGCGGCAAGACCAAGCTGGTTTGCTCGGATAATGGGGCAAATCTCCGAGCCGGTGAGCGCGAGCTGCGCCAGTCCCTGCAGCAGTGGAACCAGGCCAAGATCGCTGACACGCTGTCACAAGAAGGCGTGGAGTGGAAGTTCAACCCTCCGGCTGCACCCCACTTCGGCGGCGTGTTCGAGCGTCTGGAGCGCTCAGCCAAACGTGCCCTGTCGACCGTGCTGGGTGACAGGGTTGTGGGTGACGAGACGCTTCGGACGGTGGTCACCGAACTCGAGGCGCTCCTCAACGGCCGACCGCTGACGCACGTCAGCACCGATCCCGACGACTATCAGCCACTTACGCTGAACCACTTCCTCATCGGACGGGCTTCTCCTCAGCTGCCTCCTGGCGTGTTCGAGGATGGTGACCTGTGCCGCCGACGGCGCTGGAAGCACACACAGGTGCTGCCAGATCACTTCTGGCGGCGCTGGCGGCGGGAGTATCTTCCCACGCTGACTACGAGAGCGAAGTGGTGCAGAGACACGGCCGACATCAAGGTCGACGAACTCGTGCTGTTGGCGGACGATAACGTGCCCCGTGGGCACTGGCCAGTGGGACGAGTGACCCGCGTGCTCCCTGGAGCAGACGGCCGGGTTCGCGTTGTGGATGTGACGACACCCACCGGGCAATATAGGCGGCCTGTCACCCGCCTCTGCCGTCTCGAGCATGACGCAGACGAGCGCTGATGGGACGGGACGGTGACATTGCGCGCCCCGCCTAATGAGTAGTTTATGGCGGTGCCGCGCGACACCGCTGCACTGTGACCATGTGCGCCGCGATACTGTAGTTAGCAATTTGTGATGTTTGGGATACTGTCATTCTTCCCCGAAGCGCGCCGCGAGCGTTCGCGTCGCAGTGTAGATGTAGTTACAGCCTTAGTTTATAACCTCTCATTAGCTCTAAACGTAGCTGGTGCAAAAATGCTCGCCTCCCGCGGACGAACAGTGCCCGTTAGTTAGCTGTTGATGTTTACAGTGTTGTAGGGGTAGTATTACATTTATTCGGCATGTGTAGCGTTCATGACCCATAGTTTGCTCGCTTGTAGTTAGGATTTTCCGCGAATGGCGCGAATGGCGCGCGACGGCTATGTTAGCGAGCAAACGGGCCGTCGCTGTCGGCGCGGCGGCGGCGGCTCCGCGAGGGTGTGGGCGGCCCCTCCGCCGATTGGTTCCCACCAGGTGGGGCCCATAAACCCACGTGGGTTTATGGGGACACGCGGGCAGGGACGCACGGTCCCTGCCGAGCAGTCCACGTTCAGGCTCCGACGGCGCGGCTCGACGCGAGCCCAGTCCACGTTCAGACTCCGCCGGCGCGGCTTGACGCGAGCCACAACAGCGTTTACGACGACGACGACTTCGGAATGTGCGACGCCGCCCTTCCAACCCCTCTCTCATCTTTGCCTAGCAACTCTTTGGCTAATAGAGACTCTAACTAACGAACTCTTTCACACGAACAAGCCCCATGCTAAAGTATCTTGCCGAATGAAATATTTGACTATCAATATAGACCAACGGACAAAGACCTGTTCACTGATGTAGCGCTCGAACATGGTCCCAACGGCATGGTCTTGCTCGAAAATTTGCAGGCTAAGGGCTTAACTTGTACACGTGCCTGCGTTCCGGTTATACGCATCCTTTGTCTGTGACCGAATCAGGGATCAGCAGAATCCGCGATCTGTGATTCTTCTGATCCGCGACCAAACTATTTTCAAGCACAAATTTTTGGGCGGGTTCAGAAAGTGGTCGGCGCAAGTGGTCTTACACGCGTATAGGGTCTCTATGGCCCTGGCGTTATGGGTTTGCCAACAGAAAACTGCATGTAAGACTGGGTTTGAACAAGAAGACTTCGTTCGCTTCGCAGCTGATTGTTGGAGCACCTTGCGGCTCAGACATGTCGAGATCACATGATGTGTACTGAGGCGGCACGTGTGCTCACAGCATTCACAGCTGATTGCACGCTATCGCCTCTGGCCTCTGCTCGTCGAGACACTATCAAATCGTATCGGATGCCCAATGTCAATCGTATAACCCATAGATACGCTCGCGCCCTACACCTGCATCCGCCGACCCACGCGATCGCCAGTGAAATCCCTGTATTTACTCCGTCCAATGGTTTCCCGGGACGCCATGTAAGCGAGATCCAGGCCCACCTTGGCTCTTGGTGCGGTGTTTTCCCGCAGTGGGCAAATTTCTCGCCTCCCATGTCAATAGGTAAGCATACCTATTCTCTACTTCCATTGAAATCGCACTTGCTGAAATAAACTGATAGCAAACGCCTTCAACTTTAAACTGCGCAACGTTTAAACGCCGGGGATCTTGTAGCTGAAGAGCACATGGCGGTCCATCTCAGACCACATGAGCGCATTAGTTCTTTCGCACAGTTCTTGTGTGGTGTTTACGAGCACATCATAGTGTTGTGTTGTATTTGTTTATTCCAGGGAAGTGCTTGCGGCTTATGTTTGCACGGCACATTGCATATTTCATATTCGTCATTGATAACGACCCGGAAACGCCATTTCCAGAGCAGCAGGACGCAACACTGTTGAAGGCATTACGTGGCGTGTTCGAAAACCCAAACTTGATTCATGCTCCTTTAACCCGTGTAGGGCAAATCTAAGGACGAAAGCGTCAGCAAATTAGACAAGACGTTGGCAGCATGAAATGCCCTATGCCATACTGATGGTAAAACCTCACAAAATGCACGTTCCACGCGAATATTGGCCGTTCAAGCAATACCCCAAGCATATTTACAGATTTGCGAAGGACACTACTTATATTCGCTGCGGCGCAAAGCTCAAAGGCACGGCAGCAAGCACGGCACGTGGTTATTTCCTTTGCTGCAGTGTTCAGTGGTGCCATAAATGAAGATCTCTACTGCCCACGAGTCTTACAGGCGCGTGCGAGGCACCGCCAGAGTCAAGATGCTATTACAATGCCACCAGTCGCGTTCCAACGTAGGAATTTACCGCCACGAGTCGTTAACAATGAGACGCCGCGGCGGCCCGCTGCGGCCACTCACAACCGCCGACAACGCGTGGCCAGACTCCACCGATGCCTGGCGACCTCTCCTGGGAAGGGATCCGAGTGGGAGCGCCCGGCCATCGGTCAGTCGTGGTCATCTCTCGCCGATACAACCGAGAACTTACACAAAAACATGTGCGCCGAGTAATTTTCGTGGACGGCGTTGGTCCTAGCGGTACTGCTGCCGCGGGTACGGGTAGCCTGGGTACGGCTGCTGTCCCTGCTGCGGGTACTGCTGCTGCTGCTGCTGCTGCTGCTGCTGCGGGTATGGGTAGCCGTAGCCGTGCTGCTGCGGCATGGCGCCCGGGTACGTGCCGTACGGGTTGAAGCCGCCCGGCATGGGCGTGTAGAACGGGAACGGAGCATAGGGCTGCGGCATGGCCGCCTGCGGCTGAATCGGGTACGGCAGAGCCCCCGGCGGCGCGCCGGCGTACGGGTTGGGGGTGGCGTCACCAGAGGTGGCCGGCGGCGCCGAAGAGGCGGCGGCGGTGGTGGCCGGCGGCGGTGGGCGCGGCGGCGGCTGCCGCACCCCACCCGCAGCCGCCTGCGACTGTGGCGGCGTCGGCGTCGTGCCGGCGGTCTGGTTGGCCAGCGTCGACGTCATGTCTTTCATCAACTCCTCCTTCTCCGTCTTGCGCGCGAAGCAGAAATCGGACACCTTGTTCTGGAAGGTGAGCAGCAGCTGCGTCAGGTCGTTGTAGAACTTCAAGCCCTCCTTCAGGTTGCCGCGCAGCTCGGTGAACACGTCGTGCGCCGTGGCCAGGTCCTTGAAGAGCGTGTCGCGCGAAGAGCCGCCAGAGCCGCGCTGTGCCACAAACTCGGTGTTGGCCTCCTGGACCTCGGCCAGCAGCTCCTCCTGCTTGCGCAGGCTCTCGGCTGCGGCCGTGCGCAGCGGGCCGTAAGTGGTGGCCAGCGTCTCCTCCGAGATCGCGCTCTCGCTCACCGCTCCATCCGCCTGCAGCCCCTCCAGGAACTTGGCCTTGAGGTCAGTAGTGGCCGATTTCAGCTGGCATTCAAGCGCATCGCGATCCGACTTGATGGCGTCCACGCGCTCCATGAGCGCGCGCAGCCGCTGGGCGGCCGGCGAACCGCCATCGACGCCGGCCTCGCCGCGCGGCGTGGCCGCCACCAGCTCAGCCTCGGGCCGGCTCAGAAGCTCGATGCCGGCGCGGTTGGCGTCGAACTTGGCGCGCACCACGGCGTCTGCCTGCACGGCGTTGGCCAGGATCTGGCGGTACTTGGCGCCGTTCTGCTGGAACGACTCGGTCAGCTTGGCCGAAGGCGTACGCGTCCACTTGGCGGCAAACTGGCCGCGCAGCTGGTCATCGGAGGCGGCTTCTTCGTCCAGCATGCGCTGCGTCTCCTCCAGGATCTCTTTGTTGCGCGTCAGCAGCTCGGGCAGGTCGTCCAGCTGCGCCTGGATGGCCTGCAGACCGCCGTCGCCGCGCACGGTGGCCGCCTTCTCCCGGATGCTGGCCGGCAGCGCCGTGCCACTCGTGTCCTCCAGCGCTGCCGGCAGGTTTAGCGAGGCTAGCACGCCGTTGAGCGTCTGCGTGGCCTCGCGGAGACGGCCCACCTCCATGTTGACCAGCTCGGCCTTGCGCACCTCGTAGGTGGCCATGGCCTGCTGCACATGCACAGGAGTCAGCTGCGCGAACAGGTCCCTAAAGTCGCGGCTGTAGTGCTCCGGCTGCGACAGGATCTTGGCGATGGCTGCCTTGCCAATGGGCGGCAGCGCCTTCGGGTCGGGCACGCGCTCGTGGTAGATGAAGTCATTGTCCTTCTTGGCTGAGGTGAGCGCCTGCTGCGCTCGCACCGCGTACACACCCCACGCCTCAACGTCACCGCCACGGGAGGCCGCCGAACGCAGGAGGCTCTCGGCCCGCTGCAGCCGCGAGATCTCCTCGCCCACCTTCTTGTCGGCGTTGCAGATGCGGCTCTGGTAGTACTCGGCCAGGCCCTGGTACAGCGACTGCTTCAGCGACACGGTCGTCAGCCACTCACGCTCCCACAGGCTCTTCACCGACTCGCGCTGCATGGCCTTTAGCGCCTCGCCAAAATAGTCGTCGCACTGCGCGCACACCTTGGCGATGATGGCCTCCTTCATCTGGTCGCGGATGGCCTTGAGGGCGAAAGCCTCCTGCGCCTGGGCCTGCATCAGCTGCGACAGGGCGGCCAGCGTCTCCGGGTTGAGGTCGGGCGTCGGCTCCTGGTGGATGGCTGACATAACGGTCGTCTTCAGGTAGTGGAAGTTGCTGGCCGAGTGCTGTAGCATCTTGGCCGCCATCTTCAGGCCGTCGTCGCTCTCGAAGTTCTGCACGGCGGCGATCTGGCTCTGCAGTGCGGCAATGTTAAAGAGAATGCACACCCGCTCGAAGGCGAACGAGGCGATGGTCAGGCTTTGACGGCCGCTCAGCCACGAGCCCTTGTCGAAGGCGTCCTTCCACTTAAAGTAGATTGTGACCTCTTGGGCCGGGATCTTGGCCTCTGTGGCGACAAGTTGGTCATAATAGCGGTACAGCACCTCCAGCGAGCTCTCCGTCTTGTCGAAGCTCTTCCACGTGGCGCTGGCTCGCAGTTTGTTCATGTCCTGGATGGCATCCGCATAGTCAGCCGGGTTGTCCGCCGTGCTGTACGACGAAGCGATGATACTTTTCAACGGTCGAACCAGATCCTGTTCCGAGGTGCGCTTGATCGGAACAGCGATGAATTCCATGGTTCAGTAGTTTGTCGGCTGCTTATCTGCAACAGGTAACAATGAATAATGTAATTGACTGATGATACACATGTCAGTACTCAAGTTTGCACTCCCATTACTGGGCTGTCTGTGCAGATTGGTGCAACCTCAGATTTTTTCGAAATGTCTATCCACCGTTCAGGGGACTATGACGCAATTTTGGTCGGACGAGTTTTACATCTTTGGCACTTAACGTGATTCCAACAAATTTTTATCTTCTCCAAAATTGTCAGTTGTTTACCATGTCAGGCTATCGGGCGTAAGCATATTCGCAAATATCTACTTGGTGAAATTTAGGAAGATCGGTGCTTAGTTAAACAGAGTGTTCCATATCTGTATGGTGTTTTGAACTGAAATAGTTATCTTGAAGATCATTCGCTGCAGTTCACAGCCCCGCCCTTCTGAAGGCATGTAAGCCTCTAGTTTCTGAGCTCAACGCCCGCGAAGCTGTGCATACTATTTCAAGCCATATAGGAATGCACGACATGTGCCACAGACACGTCTTTCAAATCTCGCCACCGCATTGGCCATGCCGCGCCACGGCCACCTTTCACGAGATTGGGGAACTATAAGTGGGTGCTAGGGTGGCATCTGACATAGCTAGCTTGACAGCACCAGAACATCATACAAAGGCTCCACGACGCAGCCAAACAATGACGCCTTGTGGAGGATATTTACTTAACAGAGAAATTGTATTGTCTTAAATAGTCTTATATGCTCATTAGTTTACCAACCATAACAAGTGAGCTTATTTCATCATATATCCTGTTCGTTTCAATATCTTCAAAGATGGGATATTCCCCGAAAGCAGCCACAAATACTTTTTTGTAACAGTGTGCACCACTTCTCCCTGTCCAGTCGTTCTGGAGCAGTTTAGTAGTTATCCAATGAGCACCAACATTGCCAGTGGCCTTTTGATGTCACTGGGGCCACATTTTCCAAAACGGCAAACACTGACAATATCGATAAGGAAAAAACTAGAGGTCAGAAATCCCCATTTAATACTGGCGACCATTCTAACATGTAACTTAACATCATGATCATTTGGGACCAGCAGAAAGTTTGCACAGGACGTGTCAAGATGTCGTAAATAAAGCCAGCTCCCGAGCATTGCGTCATGCTCGACCCTCACCACGATAGGATCAAGCTCGACCCTCACCACGATAGGATCAACATTCCCTGGCATGGCGGGGAACCGCCGCCCTGGTTTTCCGGAACGTCTTCCGACCGATTGTTTTACTTTTGAGGGCGTTATGATGGAATTCTGGCCATCTGAGATCCATCATCACATTATCATCCAAGTTGCAGCCTATGTAGTAAAGACCAATCCCACACCAGCTAAGTGTTGAAAATAAGTGATCTGCATAGTTTTTAGTTTTTGTGGAGCCCCAATTACACCAAACATTCCTTCCAGGTGTTCTGCATATGCAAAGCCATCAAACATGTCATCCATGCAATGTCTTTGCAAATAGTTGATGTGCCTTGGGTACTGGCCTATTCCCCAAAAGTGAGATCCCTCATCCTGGGAAGACTTGGATCTAAAATCCAGGAGCAAACACCTGTATTAATGAATCCATTTGAGTATGTCTTATGGTTCGACATCCCATAGTCCATCTGTTGAGAGGTTAAATGGCCTATTGAATAAAGTTTCATTCCCTATATTTGATGATGTTATTGGAAATCTGTGAGTTACAATACCTGGTAAACACATAAGACAAAACAAAATACAAGCCAAATTTCAGCAGCTAGAGCCCCCTTCTAAAGACAAATGCATGAGACATACAAAAACATGTTGTACTCATAGTACCAACTCCCTTAATCTCTAGCAATATATGTGACCATCAAATATGTTTCTGCATATTTTGGGGATGTGCCACTTACAGCTAACCATAAGAAAACATGATACTGCAACTCATAATTGAGGAACAGCATGCATGCTGTCACATGTCAGATTGTGAGCCGCAGGGGCCATGCCCTCTCCCCCCTCTGAGCCAAGAGCTTTATGTAAGGCAATGAGTAAAGTTGAAGAATTTTTGTCCAAATTCACAAGATTTATAACAGAATTTGGCTTTGCCCTTCCCAATACATTTTTTTGTTACCTGCCTGGGAAATGGAAAGTATTTCAACTAATTTTTGTCAGAATAGAGCCTAGTGCATAGTATGGCTACTGACCAGAGTGTGGTTTTCAAGTGTGTTTCAAGTGTGATTCTCATATGGTTTTATAAATGCATGTTTGCTAAGGTTTGAACAAGAAGAGTCTGAGCATCCTATGTTAAAATCATCACACAACATAGTGACACATAAGCCTGCAGAGGTCTGGCTAGGATGATTATCATGAATACTAAAAATACAAAAAACCAAGTCATGTAACAAAAACATTCCCAAAAGGATCTAACTGAGTCATGAACATTTCATGGAAATTAAACTGTTGGTATATCAGTGCATTCTTTGACTGCTGGGCTTAACCTGCTCAGACCAGTTTGAGCAAAAAAATACATTCACTGCACCAGACACTAAGTGACATCAGTGTATTGAACCTGGGGCTTGTGTGCATCAGACCCAGCTCAGGCCAGATCAAATTATGCTGAGTCTTCAATTGATTTTAGTGTGGAAAATATTTGTGGAGTATTTCTGACTAACATTACATTCTCCACAAGATATTCCTTGACAGCTTGGCCCTATATCCACTAAAACTGGTATGGACCCTGCACCACCTTCAAATGGACTCTCAAAGTGCCGAAATTGGTGCTGTACATGCAATGAAATTTTCATAGTGGTGTTGCTGCTACAATAGACATGTTCAGTCCACAATAATATTGTTTTACACCTTGGATTTTGGTGCTGAGGTAGACACTTAAGTTGACACCTACTCATTCGATGTTGCAGAATGCAGTGTGCATGGTTAATGCATGGTAAAATACCAACAACTATGTTTCAATTCATTAGCCCAGTCAGTTATGACACCGAGGCAGAGTTGACATGCGGCAAATTAATATGAATATCTAATTCGAAATTAGCCCGACCGCAGGCAAAGTGGAATATCCTTTGTTTCGAGAAACCAACCGACAAAAGCTGGTGATCAAAAGCCACCCGTTCAAACAGAAATTAGAAAGACCACCAACCACGTACCAAAATAATTAATTCTGCCCCTACCACTCCCACAACACAAACCTGCGCAGCCCAATGACTCACCCAGAACCAACAACCGGCGAAGACCCGTGTTCCACAGAATCCTCTCAAGGATTCCAGAAAATCGGAAAGCAGTCCGCTTTCATACTGAGGCCTCAATGACTTAGATTAAATTCTGAAATGACGTCAAGACAAACCAGGTGTTTCAGAATAATGCATTGCTGTGCAGTTATGGTGCGGCAGAATCGAACAGGAAATAAAGATTCTACCGATGTTTTTCATATAACCATCTGAAATGCTATTGTCCAGGTCATTGAACGCTTGTGCTTTGCACTGCAGTCGCCCGCGAGAGGTAAATTTTCCGTGCATGAGGGCTGAAGCATAAAAGTTGGGCTTACGCTAACAAAAATACAAAATGAGATACATTAAAATTTGGAACTCATCATCAGATTTCACTTCATTAATGCCTAGCCGTTCGCTGAAATATTTGAAATGAAATCGTTCGCTGAACGCTTTGAGGCCTGCCAAAGTTCGTTCAGTCATTCATTGCCTGCGAAGAGCTCCAGTGACGTCACTACAAAGCCCAATCATGTCCATGACGCTTGAAAGGCCGGATTGGGCCCCAACTGGCCCCAGCCCAAGGTCGCCTGTGGCCGGAGGCTGCGAGTGCGGTACTCGAGGACTTAACGTGCGATCAAAGAGGATGGTGGTGGAGCAGCTGGGAGGGTGGTAAAGGACAAAGTTTGGTGCGAGCGTGCAAGGCGGCCTGGGTGGCACCGCAGGTATTTCGCCTATTGATATATCATGGGAAGTGGTTGGCTGTGATCCGTTGCGTAGTTTTGTGGTCAGCTGTGGCGAGAGGGGAACCGCGAAAATTATGAAACTTCCCCAAAATTCGCTAAGAAACAGGCGTTTCCCAACATTTGGCCATCTGTGGGAAAAATACTTCAATTCCCCCCTCCCCTCAAAGTGGGAGTGGAGCCAAAGGCACCCTTCCTTCGACTGAATAGGAAATAACGTCCGTGCTATGGTCTGAAGGCTGCCTGGGCACATTGCTGCAGTTATGATGTGTCTGTTAATACTTGATGTTGATATGTTACCTTACCTTACCTTACCTTATGGTGATCGGGTATTGTAAAAGGCCACTAGGCCGGTAGGTCTTGGTCTCGTCAGGCTCCTGTTCCGGTAACCAAACAGTCTCAAATTATGGGAAGATTCAGTGTGGGGCATCATACATGATGTTGGCCCAGTGTGTATCAAGCGTAGGCTTGAACTGTGCAACTGGTGTTGATGATTCAACTGGGTGTGGAAGAGCATTCCAGTCATTGTTCTGAGCTTCCACTGGTGTTCTCTCATCACCTCCCAGTTGTGCATTGTCAGGAACTCCTCTTCTGGCAGTGACATACCTCCATGAAACAGTTGGTACACTGTTACCATGTCTCCCCTACAATGATGATAGTACAGCATACAGTACAGTACTGTACTGTACAGCTGTACTGAATTATATCTGTTCACATATGTCTATTCTCAACTGTGTAGAACTGATGCTGAATTTGGCAAGGCATAAGGAAGGGAGCCTCACTCCTGCTTATCAATGATATGTGAAATGCTATGAAAGATTATGAGCTCATTAGCAGATTTAAGCCAGATATTCCATTACTGCCAAGTGCTAGTTCATGCCTTATTGGATGCCCTTGTTATAAACCAATCTGCAGACCACAGCAAGGATGTTGACAATATGTTTTGGGGTGGCTTAGATCCTGACTCAAATGTGTTATGGGATAGTAGCAAATTTTTTCCTTTGGGCAGCTTCTGCTAATCTAACCTATCACAAGGTATGAGTTTTGACTGGTGTGTGTTGGTGTTGGCATGCACCATGCTATTTGAAGGGTCTCAATCTTCAGTTCCATTAAGCTGCCCCAGACTTTTGTTTCTGCCCTGTGTGTAAACCTTGACTGCCAAAGTCTGATCCTGGAGCGCCATGAGATGGCCATCCTTTGATCAAGGTAGATATGCTGTTATCTTGTAATCAGGACCTGGTTATTTAGTAGTTATATAGGAAAGACCTGGCATGCCTTTACTTGCCTCTTCAAGCCTGTGTTATGATGAGCCTGTATATATGAGTTCCAGTGCTTGCTTTCAATTGTATGACTGGCATTTGATGTAACTTGTCATATTTAGGTACATCAGTGAATGTCCTGTAGCCATGTTATCCAAATTGAAAAGCATCTTCAGTGTTGCAGTCTTAGGAAAGTACAGGGATTTGACCCCCAGAGGGTCATTTGGATCTGAGGGAGAGTAGGTCAAACCCCAGGAAAACATAGCTTGTTGACATGTGGCATGTTTATGGCATGTTTCTCAGTTAGGTTCTCATTTTTCACTGCTCAGCCTCCCCAGAACATGTTGCAAAACTACTCCCCTGGGGAAGCATTTTATACATTTGAATAAGGCAATAAGGGTGCTGGCATTAGCAGTGACAAATCATAAAATGGAAAGGTTCTTTTTTGATGGCAGTCTTTTTATGACTTCTGAAATGCTGAAGGCCTCCTTTGCACACTCAGCATGGGGCTGCTTCTTCAGAAAGTCATCTGATTTTGGGAGATGGCCTTCATTCATGCTTTTTACTAGTGGCACTTCTTACCTACTTGCTGAGGTGCTCTTGGAGGGTTCTTTTCCTAACTTTTTAGATGCCCAGTCCCATACTCAGATGGTGGTTTTTGTGACTCACTGATGTCCACACTCTGTTTCAGGCCCAGTATGGCTTGGACCACATCTGTTCTGTGTTCCTGTACTCTGCTGGTGTTCCAGGTGCTGGCAGTTGACCTTGGGTGGCACCACAGGCAGGTATGTTACCTCACTGAGGACATGACACTTACTGTGGCCTTGGTTTCCCCTTTGATGGCAAACTATCCACGTTCACCACACACTGATTACTGCTGAGGCTAGCCATCTGCATCCACTACCATGTCCGACAGAGTCGCCACACACCACTGCAGCTAGAGGACTATGGACTCCTGGAGTCCGTGGCACTGCTGGACCAGCAGCTGGACCCAGAGGCTCAGCTGTGGACCAGCCTGCTGGAGCCACTGCTGGTGTCGCGCTACGTCGGCACGCCGGCCCACGAGGACGTGCGGCAGGTGGGCAGCAGTGCTGAGCACTCCCCCAGCTGACTGTGGCCTGCTGGGCCGAAGTCTAGTTTTCGAGGGAAATTGATGGGTACTTGTTTGTGTGGTCAGATTTGGGCTGAGGGTGCACGCCAAGCAGTGTACTTTGTGAGAGCCCTATCCCGCCCTCAAGTACTCTGGCTCCATTTTGATGGAAAAGTCGTCTCTGGCGCCAGGCACACAGGACAGCATTGGGATCTTTTGCTGCCCTGCAATGTTGTGAAAGGACTGCCTCACGCCAGGTCGACCTATTGTGCTTGCCAGTTGATGTTTCCATACCAGTCAGGGCGAATAACGTCCGTTCTGGGATCCAGCGCTGTTGGATCGAGCCCAGCCTTCTGTCCGTGGGCTACGGTGGCCGGAGAACGGCGGTAGAGAACGACAGCGTCACTGACGCCCTGGATCCCTGGGCCCACAGCACCTTGTGAACGTGCTCACCGCCTTGGGCTGGACCGTGGACGGTAACCGGACGTTCACCATGCGGACGCCGCTGGGGGAGATGCCGTTCACCAACGTGGTGGCCACCCACGACCCGGCCGCGCCGCGCCGTCTGGTGCTGGCCTGCCACTACGACTCCATCTATGGACGGGACGCGTTTGTCGGTGAGTGCCGAGGCGTTGTGAGGAGGCCGCTCGGGCAAAGGGGCGTCTTCCCGGCTGCTAGCGGCTAGAGTGGCCGGAATCAATCCCAGCGAACCTCTGTGCGTGGCCTGTTTCCATGAATGTGACTATGGTAGGGGGGGGGGGGGGAGAGGGGCTTGGAAGGACATGGCCCCTGCCTTTGTTTCCTCTTATTTTGTTCGGGGTGCACGGTTTTCACGTTTTATCTCATGTAAATTGTCATTTTCACGTTACGTTGTCGTACCCCTCAGATTTCAGTTTAAAGCCGCAAGCTCAGAGATATGGTCACACCCCTGGTGGTGTTTTCACAACCTCAGATATGCGGTTGCACCCCTGGCTGTGTGCTTACAACCTCAGAGATATCGTTACACCCCCGGCTGTCTGCTCACAACTTCGAAGATATGTTTACACCCCTGGCTGTGCTCACCACCAAAGATATATGGTTACACCTCTGGCTGTCTGCTCACAACTTTGAAGATGTGGTTACATTCCTGGCTGTGCTCATAACCTCAGAGATATGATAACACCCCTGGCTGTGTCCGCTCCAGCCGCCACCGACTCGGCCGTACCGTGCGCCATGATGTTGTACCTGGCCTGTTTGATGACCAGCCGGTACCTGGACCCCATGAAGGTCAGTGGCTGGCACTCAGCATGGGCCAGTCATAATCAGGGTCGGTACTTAGTATCTAGCCATAGGTACGGGATTTCAGCGTGTTTTTGAGATGTTGATGTGGCGGGACCGTGTTTTTTATGTGTGTAGCTAATAATGGGACTGCAAGTCTTCGTGTAGACCATTTGTGTGTCAAGCGTTATGTGCAATAATGGTACATGTCACTGCAGTCAACTCCGCCGCCACCCGCATCGGACAACGGTGCGGCACCAGATATAATATCATTTTGACCACGACAGGGTGTTGGAAAGGAGGATTGCCGGCGTCGGGGGTGGTGTCGGTCGTGTTATCGCCAGGCCTTGTGCCCAGGGCCGGTCAGAGCTGACCCTGCAGCTGATGTTCCTGGATGGGGAGGAGGCGTTCGTGAGGTGGACGGACCAAGATTCGATCTACGGCGCGCGACATCTGGCGCAGGAGCTGCAGCGGACCCCATACCGGGGCACGGGGGGCGGCTCCAATGCCTCCCTGACCGAACTGGACCGGATCGTGAGTCTGACAAGTTGTCGTGTCCTTGTGATATGGTCCGCGGCGCGAGGGCGGCGATGATGTAGTCATGTCCCAGGTGCGTCCATATGTGTGAAAACTTAGCAACCACGTGGCAAGTCCCTGTATCACGATTTCGATCTGCTCGGTGAAATAGGGCGAGGCTAGGTAAAGGAATGGGCGGAGGGCCATGGCTCTGAAGCTTTTTTCTAATGTGTTGACGTCATAATAGTGCTGATTGATTTATATTTTATGACGTCACCAGATGTTACGTGACATGGCTGTCGGAGTCGCCGCGTGCCTTGCATTGAGAGGTGATGCTAGGGCTAATTGAGGGGGTGTGAGGTCATTTTTGGGGTCGCCGGGTTACTCCTGATCGGTGCGATTTTCTGGCCGGGTTCTTCCTTTCTCTTTAGTCATGACCTCGGTGATCAGGCAACACTGTATTGACCCGTGGTAATCGTGACCTCTCGCCTCTCACGACTTGGGGAATTGTTGACATTGCCACACCGTATCATGACCCTCCCTCCTTTAAGCGGCGACACCCGCCACAACTCAGCCAGGCTGGGGATGCCCCCCTCCCCTCCCGGCCAGCGCCGGTCCGAGCTTGTGTCTGGCCCCCGCCTACGCCGGGGCCCATCATCCTCACGCCGGGCCCGGCCGGTCGGTGACCACTGCCAGCGCCCTGAGCCGTGCTGCGGTCGGCAGGACTGTTTCGTGCTGCTGGACCTGCTCGGCGCCGCCCGGCCGGCCATCGCCAACTACCAGGCCGGCACGAAGGCCGAGTTTCGCCGGCTGGCGGCCATCGAGCGGCAGCTGTCGAGCGCCGGCCTGCTGCCGCCCGACCTGCCGGCCGCCTTCCACTTCCACCAGAGCTGGAGCGGCTGGGGCGCGCCGCAAATCAGCGACGACCACCTGCCCTTCCTGCGCAGAGGTGGGTGACTACGTCAGGGGCCGGCTGCTGGAGGCGGGCCGCAGAGGTGGGTGAGGACGCCAGGGGCCGGCTGCTGGAGGCGGGCTGTAGAGGCTGGGTGACGACGTCAGCGGCCGGCTGCTGGAGGCGGGCCGCAGAGGTGGGTGAGGACGCCAGGGGCCGGCTGCTGGAGGCGGGCTGTAGAGCTGGGTGACGACGTCAGGGGCCGGCTGCTGGAGGCGGGCTGTAGAGCTGGGTGACGACGTCAGCGGCCGGCTGCTGGAGGCGGGCCGCAGGTGGGGTGAGGACGCCAGGGGCCGGCTGCTGGAGGCGGGCTGTAGAGCTGGGTGACGACGTCAGCGGCCGGCTGCTGGAGGCGGGCTGTAGAGCTGGGTGACGACGTCAGCGGCCGGCTGCTGGAGGCGGGCTGTAGAGCTGGGTGAGGACATCTGGAGCATGTCAGTGACCAGGTTCAGTCATAGTCATGCTCCAGATGCTGGCGATAGCCGTACAATAGCTATGGAGATGCTAGCAATAAACCATCAGCAACCCTCTTTCCTGTGCAAAGTATTGTGGGCAAGCTGCGGATACGGAACGCCCGGTACAAAATTTGCAAGAATAGTGAGATCGCGGCGTTTCTGCCTAAACGAAACGGACTGCTGGTCAGATGTTCCCGTTGGGAGTGGCACTGGCGTAACAGTTTGCCTCAAGCCCCTCATTGTTCCAAAGCAGAGTAAGGGTACGTAGGATATCGCGTAGCGTGATGGGTTTATGACAAGGAATGTCGTTTTATGCTGTTGATGGAGACTCGTAAATCAAATTCAGGCGCGTTCGAGCACAAATAAAACCCCCAGGTCAGAGGCTCTGCGGGACATCTCGGTAACGTTTTCGACACACGCCAGTGAAAACAGCGGGCCCACAAATGGGCGGCGCGCCTGTGCTGACGACATCTGTCTTGGCGCAACCGCGGCTCGGTCGGCGCGTCCCGTGCTGGTTGGACGTGACCGCTGACGACATTGCCGTGGCGTAGTCGCGGCTCGGTCGGCGCGTCCCGTGCTGATCGGACGTGACCGCTGACGACATCTGCCGTGGCGTAGTCGCGGCTCGGTCGGCGCGTCCCGTGCTGATCGGACGTGACCGCTGACGACATCCGCCGTGGCGTAGTCGCGGCTCGGTCGGCGCGTCCCGTGCTGATCGGACGTGACCGCTGACGGCCGGCGGCTGGGGGCTGGGCTGCTCTCGGAGCTGCACTCAACACGCCCCTTTGGATGATGACGTGAGCGGGGTTGGCCCGCCGGGCTGACGTGGCTGACCGTGTGGCGGGGACAGCTGGCGCGCACGGCGACCACAGCCAGCAGCTGTGGCGTGCGGCCGCTGGGCGGCGCCCTGATCAACGGCGCCCTGTTGCGAATGATCGGATGTTAAACCACCATTCGAGCTGACCTCAGGCCAGATTGTGACCCCCGTGCGTGCGATGAGTGCTTCTCAGCACGTCCGCGAGGTAGCGAATCGACCACGCAGAATGCACTTGAACATGCCCGTGGAAAACGGTTGAAGCTGACGCGTGCTCTCGTACGGCCACGGTGACGGGCTGCGGGGGCGTGTTCCAGGCGTGAAGGTGCTGCATCTGATTCCGCACCCGTTCCCGTCCGTGTGGCACAAGGATGCCGACGACGCACGGGCCGTCCACTTCCCGACCGTCGCCGGGCTCAGCCGGACACTGCGCGTGTTCGTCAGCGAGCACCTCGGCCTCGCCGCCTACCTGTAGGTGCGTGACGGCGGCGCCGGCGCCGGGGGGTGGCGTGGTGTCGCGCCCTGCGCTGGGTCGCGACTGGGCGTTGTCTTGGGCTGGGCGGCGGCGTGGTCGAGCTTGACATGGATGAGTGGTTGGGACTGGTGAGTGTGGAGAGTGTGCTGACCAAGGGAATTCAAGGCCGATGACTGGGCAATGCTGCTGGATGTGGTCGACATACAGCGTAGTGCGGCCCCAGTAGCAGGCTGCCTCTGCTTAGAACCCTGTGGACGCGGGCAAGGCGCTTTCACAGCGATAGATGTAATGCAGTGCACGAAGCTCCCCTCCTACCTGCCATGACACGTAGCTCTTTGATGATGTCTTGCGGTTTAAATCTGATTGGGTTGGAAAGCCCTACCAAAATCAGTTGGTTGTGGTCGGTGATCGTCTGTACATTCACGATGGACACCTACATTTTGGACCGTGGTCTTGTGGGACGCTATCACATGAACGGCCTTCTCTCTGATTTCTGCAGTACCCCGTCGGAGGCCGTACCTACGTTGCTGATTCGCTGAGCTCTGCCGAACGTCCGTCCGCCAACCAATCTGACGGCCGCTGCCGTCCAGCGGTCTCCGGCTGGCAGCCAATGAGCGCCGTCCCGCGACCGCCGTCGCTGGCCTTCACCCGGCCGCCTTGCCTACACGGCTGAAGGAAACGCATGGCGATGTTTGTGGAGCTCCGAGCCGCTAGCGGCAGTTGGCTGAGTTCTGCTCTATCCTCGTCCTCGTGCTGTGGATCTGTTTGTGACGCAGGTGCGGGCCACCAAATCGTGCAATGTGATAAGTGACGTGATTTAGACGTTAAATAGATTTGACTAGGTGATAACTCATAGCTGGAACGGCCCGCCTAAGATAAAGCCTTATCTCACCGGCCGGGCTGTGGCATACGTAGTATTGTTATATATATATATATATATATATATATATATATATATATATATATATATGTGTGTGTGTGTGTGTGTATATCTATCTATATAAATCCTGTATACTTAAATGCGTGCACCTAAGAACTTCCGCTCGGGGCCTGCTCTCCCAAGATACAAAGGTTGTTTGAACCGTAGCGCATGGTTCTGCAAGTTCTTTTGGCATTGGAACGCTTTGTGAAGTAGAAAACATGGCTCTAGTATGGGTTGAGACTTGACAGTTCCAAGCTTTATTTTGCCCGTATCAAGCTGCGTAGATACTCGCCTCAAGCGATTCGTTAGACTTAATTTGTCTGGAATTACCGTGCACTGCAGTGGGGAAGCTTTGAAACATAACGAGTCACTTCCCAATAGACGCGTCGAAAGGTGCGTTCAATATTTTTAAAGGTCTCAAACGCGGTCACAAGCGATGTTGCGAAGTACAATTTTACGCACATACATTTTCGATATGGATACTGTATTGCATGATTTGAGAGCCAGAGCCAGTGCATTGTCGCGCAAAGACGGAGTGCCTACTTTTCACGAAAATGTTCCATGCTTGTCTTCGAGTAGGGAGTGTTAGAGGTGTCACTTCGTGAGCAAACAATTGCTAACTGTGTAATCAGCAAGCTCGTAGCCGGTGTGTTGGTAACTTGTTGAATCGCTTGGTCCCAAATGTCTTGCGGTTTCTGTTTTGCCATGGGGGAAGGGACTTGAATCGGTGCTGTCATTGCAATCTGATGTACGTTTTCCGCGGATTGCAGCGGGGGTACGGATGTCGAAACTGCGTGATGTCCACAATGATGAGCTGAGTTGCTCAAATTGTGCGCCGTGGCCCCTCTGCCACCTCTGGGCTGCTCCATTGCACTATCCACACGTAGGCTCAGCCACCTCTGTGGTGTGCACCTCCGCATTGTCCCGCACGCACGCCGGGTTAATGTCTGCTCGGCATGGAACACCAACGGAACGAGAGCCGCTGGTGGGCCTGGGTGGCACGCGGCCACGGAGCGCCAGCTGGCGTTATATCGGTCTGGGCTCCCATCGCCCGCCAGCATCTGTTGGGGCTTTCAAGGTAGCGACCAAAGTTTCGCGCGGTGAACGAGAATCGCCAGCTTCGGCCGTGTTTCGTCGTCCCCGCGATGGAAGCGGTCCCGGGTCACGTGCAACGCGCCCCTTCGCGGGATTTCGGAAGTGTGTGCTGCTGTGCTCGCGCTGAAATCGATCAGCGCTGTCAGTGCGTTTCTGATCGCTCCTTCCGACACGTCTCGGGGTCACTCGTTATGGACATCATGCCGAAGTACTTATCAGTTGTGCGAGATCGTGCGTTGCTCGGGGAGGGCGGCACTTGTTCGCGTCTGGGGTCTGGCGGCGCCACGTCTGCTGTGTTGCACGGGTCACCGCCTGCCGCGTCACGTGACCTGGACGCCCGCCGCTCGCGCCCCCGCTCCCAGCGGCCGGCCGGGACGACGGGTCGTGTTGCTGGCGTTGCAGCACGTCCGGTGGGGTGGGGTGAGCTTTTGTACTATGTGTCTTAGTCAGCAGCGGCGCATTCCAGTCTCGAAAAACCTACGCCGGGATGCAGGGAATGAACTGGCCTTATTTGGGTCGGTGGAATAGGAACTAGCCACTGCGTTTTGATGAGGTGTTGGTGGCAATCTGGATGGCTTGTAGTGTAAAATAAATGATGTAACAAATTCAGTGTGTTTGGACTTGAAGCAGTGGTTAATTTTTGTTCGCTGGAACGTTTTTGTTAGCAGTATGGACGAAGTAAATGGCTAATTGCTGGGCAGAACAGTTGATGCAGTTTTGTTATAACAGGCACATTCAAGTGGTAGAATGGTGCGAGGCCAAAACTGCCGCGATATCACATGCAGGCTGATGTGCGTGGACGTTTGACCCTCGTGTCAGGTCGGAATGTTCCATATTTGTTCCCAGGGTTGCGTGCACAGCTACCTCATCATGCCTTCTCACATGCTGGACCGACGGCTCGTGTTCGCGCCTGCAAAGCATGCGACCAGTGCGAGGGGCTTGATCCGTATTTTGACGCACGCGTATGTCTGATCGCTGAGATTAATTCAGGTAGCCCAGTTTTTGATTCCGATGGGGGGTAAGGCATATGCTTGAGCCCGGGAATTTTGTAACACGGGCTAACACGCTGCAGGGACGGATCTAGGATCTTTCCAAGGCGAACAACTTAGTTTCCAGAGGCTCCTATGTGGGATGAGGCTCTGCAAACTAATTGGTCACCACTCCTCCAATATTCGCATGGATTCCCGGATTGGAGCTCAGAACCCTACCTCCTACAGAATGTCGGTGATTGAAGTTGCAGGTTTGCAGAGTCATTTCACCGCGCTGGCAAATCCAGGCGAGGGGGCATCACGGCATCTCTCCAAAGGGGCCGACATGGCTTACACCTCCAAACTCCGACGAACGTAGCTAATGAGTCATTTTGTCGACTCCCGTACCTATTAAACCAATTTCGGGGCGTGATAGGCAACCTTATCAGTGCCAAAATGCTATCAATAGATGATCCTCTCCATGAACCGATCCAGAACGCCGCCGCGGGAAGGAGGGGAGGGGGGAGGGAGTGTGAGAGGAGCAGCCAGTGCCAGCTTGGGAGCTGAAGTATTTTTGGCAAGGTGTTTCTTCAAAGTAGCTTTTCGAAATCCAGACATGCTACGTTTCCCCACTGGAATGGTCTGGCGGAGGGAGGGTACAGTGCGGCTGACCCCTCCCTGGATCCGCCCTTGATGTTCCCCAGTGGATATGGGTGGGCGTGTGTTCTCGGGCGTACGTTGCCAGGGATCTCAGTGACGGGGAGAATGCAGAATAGTGCCGATCGGCACGCCTATTCGTAGGACCCGGGAATCCTCGACAACTCGGCCCATCGCTGTAAATGGCAGCGTTTGCCTGTTGCAAGAGATACAGAGTTGATGCGTGCTGCCCCGCCGCCGCCGCGGCCCAGCCCCGGTTTTACAATGGAGTCAGCGGCAGGGGCGCGAGGAGGCTGGGGAAATGTGCAGCCGGTCCCGTTGGAAGAAATTCGGCAGGGCATCTCGTTGACCCATGGGACCGTTCCGGTTATGACCTCCCACACACAAACTTGAATGCTCCAAACTTGGCGTACAGATTTGAATAGTCTCATTACTGTAATGCTCGTGATCATTCTCTCAGATTACCACCACTGCAGTAAATGGCATGGCTTTCCTGCAATGAGTAACAATGGTACAGCCCTACCACTGCTCCCCCATGCCCATCCTTACTTTGCAGTGAGCACGGCGAGAGCGCATGTCCAGGGCCGTATAGGGCGCTGCGGTGCAGGGCGATACAAGAGTGTGCCCATACCACTCCGCTCCGACCTCCCGTTCTTCCTTTGCGGTGGAGGTGGCTGCGGCGCGCATGCAGGACCGTATACGGCGACGCGGTGTGGTGCAATGCGGCACGCGCAGTGCGGGGTGCGCACGAAATTGAGGCCTCCAGTGTGTCGGCATGCGTAGACGGACGCCACGGGCAGGTGGTGTGACGTCACCGCCCGGCCGGGTCCAAAGCCGTGACGTGGCTGCTGAACGTGCCGCTGCCTGCCAACATAGCAGAAGAACCTCCTCGCAGCCGAGCGTCCTTGTTCTGAGAGAATTCGTGAGCCGCAGAACAGACCACTGCAACTGAGGATCGGCCATGTGGAGCTGCAGGAGCTGTCATTGTTCAGCAGAAGTGGTCTCAGTGCGCCTAAGAGACACTGGTATCTCAAATAGGCTATAGATGGCCTTTTTATCTCGTTCCACAGATTAGATATTATCTGTGTGAATGCCTACTTTGGGCGGTTGTTGTAGGCCCTATCCTTTGCAGCCTTGAATGCTGCGAATAACTTAAACTACGATTCTCCATTACTATATTGTTATAGGTAAGTGGAAAAATGTACGTACTTAGGATGTACGTCAGGCCGATGGCCGTAGCCAAATGTACCTTATAAGATTTTCGTAACTGCTAATTTATGTACACACCGCAATCATCCGTATCGCAAATGCTCGAGAGTGCTTATGTTCGGATCTACCTAAGGATGTGAACGCCTCGTAAACGCCAATGCTCGTAAAGGTGACCTTCGCCAACGAAAATGTAACGTGCTTATACGGTCAGGCAGAAAGGTAATGCGCTCCCGGGTGACCGTCTGGATGCCCCTCGCCCGCGTGGAGATCACCTAACCACCCTGAGATCTCAGAAAGTAAGAGAGTTAGAGACACCAAGCTCACAGGGTGTGTTGGCCTGTACGTCATCTCACTGGGGTCAAAGTTTGAAGTTCCTAGGTGATGACCTTCTGGTCAAATAAGGTCAAACAAGGCCAAACTTTAGATTTGTCTCCAAAGTGTCCCCAGAGCCTAGATATCTGTCCTAAAGAAAAAGTATCGTGCTCATTGAAAGTCAGTGACTTTGTTTGACCTTTGAGGGTTATGGTGAACAAAATAATTACAGGACTGCTTTGTGTTTTGCATTCGAATAAGCGATAAAGATAACGCTAAGCAGTATGCTCCTTAAAACAAGACGTTAACCTGGATCATTTTGAGTCCGTATGGGACCTTCTTTAAGGTCACAAGAAGTGGCCTTAAAGAAGCCCATGGAAGTTGTACAATGCGGTTCCTTGTATCAATCAGTTTGAAATGAACGCCAGAAACTACACCATATAGCAAGCCATAGAGTAATAAAACAGGTCGGTTTTGACCTTAGTCTGACCGTCATACCTGAGCCTAATTTAATTTAGTTTGTTCATTCAATTGTTTTGCTGCCTAAAAAAGCATCTCAGAGGTGTATGGCCTCACCTAACACTCTATTGTTGCGTTAGAATGAACGATACCCGACAAATTTACTTCTCTGACTGCATGACCTGACTCACCTGCCGTAGGTCAATGACCTTGCAAGGTACATCTAAATTTTTGATACCAAACGACACCCTATTCAATTGTCAATAGTTATGGAAAATTTGGCGCGGCTACGCCGCGTCGTTCAGAAACCATTCCGAGAGACGCTTCGGGGAGGGTCGATTTGACCCTATACCCGAGCACGTGTTAATTTAGTCGTTAAGATTTAACTGTTACCAAAGTCATGCCAGACCGAGCTAACCTTTCCGCACACGCAAGTCGAATGCCCGCACCTGATTCCGTGCATAGTCAATAACCGTTACATCGAGATGTATGCAGTATGTTACTATCGCATTACCATACACTTAAACGTGCTGATCTCGCCGAATTTCGTACGAAGTTTTGTCCACCCAATTTATGTGCTTTGGCTTGCGTTGAGAATATATACCGTATAAAAGCTATCGTGTACGAACATTGGTGATGCAAACATGTGCAATACGAACATGTTCGATGCGAACATACACTGATACGAACAATGACGACATGAATATTGGTACTTATGAACATCTGCATTACTTACATGTGCGCACACGTACAGGCGTTTACAAACATCAACGTAACGAACATTGCCGCAGACGAACGTTTGCGCATACGAACGTTACCGTTTACGTAGATCTGCGATGCGAACAGTTACGAAAAGGAGTCAGTAAGATGACACCCCATGCCGACATTGCTGCCGCAATTTCTCCCCGAGACCGAAGGTCGGGCGGAAATTGCACAGCGACCAGGGTGTTGGAAAATTGTCCCTGCTTGCCGGTGGTGTGCTTTTGGTAAATGCTATTGTGTTACAAAACACGTAGTGAAACGTTAAGTCATTCTTCTCACCATACTTTAGTTATGAAATCTGACAGAATGATAGTGATAGGGCCGACAGAGGGTGTATTTAGTCGATACGTCATGAGAAGCCGCCATCTACAACCATTGCTGGGCTCAATATCGAAACTTTTTGGAAATGCACCATTCTTCTACCTATGCCATTCACCAAGCACTGCTCTTAGTGGTTACAAAGCTTCCGTGGTGACAAATGCATTTCTAAACAGTTCCTACAAGTCGTCTTTTCGCTCGATAAACATTTTCGCTTCGATTGGTAAAACATTTCGGCTAATGGCCAAAGCTGTTTTCCCAGATCAAAAAGCACGGAGGCGAAATGTTATGCCAGAAGCATGAGCTAACGCAAAAAGGATATCCCATGATCTGATAAAGCCTATTTCCTATTAAAGTGTAGGTGGATGCATGTTTGCATCTACAAACACATGAGGTACTACCGTGAACATGTTATGAACGGGAAACAACTGAACCCCGTGTTACATGAAGCTATGGTTTTTAAGAAAACGAAGATGTCCGTACCGCTTTTCCACTCTCTCCGAGATAAACGGATCATGCCGGAAATTTTCATTGAACCGCACGCAGTTGCGTTTGAATGCATATGCTCGTACATGTGTAGTTATGGTGTATTTTATTACGCGCGATATCCCTGTGATACCAGATGCGCACGGCAAACGTGCAGGCGTGCGCATTCAAACGTGGTCGGTTCCTGCTGGAGCAAACTACGCTGTGACCATACTGCGAGATCATCCTAGCTCCGTCATCCTGTACACTGGTTGATGTCCTCGCCCGTGATCTTGACGCCTCACCGACTGTCAGTACCACTTCGACGTCTTCATAGACTGACTGGCGTCGTCCACTTCCTTGGCGATCCCACTGACTACATCACTCTGTTGATCTTGATCTGCCAAAAACAGAACAAAACAAAGGAAATTTGGCTTTCAATGTGAA